CTGCGTTTCATCTATCAACACTATATCGTTTGCGAAAAACATACACCAAAGAATATCATCTTAAATATTAAGTTTGTGATCTTCGCTAGATTGCTCCGGTCATTAGTGTGGATAAGTATGTAAATGGATAGAGACAAGAAGCAAACACAAAATGTACGTGGTTCACCCAGATTGGTTACGTCCACGCAGTAAAGAAGTTCTCATTAATTGTGAAGGGTTTACACAGTACATAGGTTCAAGCTCTCCTTTAGTGAGTACAAGTAAATGATTTAGTACAAATGACATTAGGAAATATTATGGGAGAATGATCTCGTAATCACGAAATTTTTAAGTACCGAAGTGTGGTATCGTCTTCACTTGCCTTATTTGTCTCATAGGTAGATGTGACATCTTCTTTGGAAGTACTCTTCCTCCCTCAAGGGGTGGTATCTTTAACTGGTGGAGATGCACAAGGTAATGTATCAATTTCACTTGACGCTTACTTGTAGTTTCAAGCTTGGTCAAACGCGATACAAACCATGTAGTAGGAGTCTCCCAAGTCGCCGAGCTAGGGGATCTGCTGAAAGAGGTGATAGACAAGGTAAGCAATCAGAGCTCCAAGCAATCAGTCCCAGATCAGAAGTTTGATTTTGAGTTCTGGCTGATTGTTATCATTCTCCTTATCTTGCAGGCAGCATGAAGGATAAAGAGAAGAAAATGAGAAAAGGTGATATGAGATACTTTTGCTTTTGAAGAAGTAACTTTCCACAGGCTTATTCTTGAACTGGGCTGGAGGGTTTTCTGGTTTCCGTCAGAGTATAAGGCCGACTGAAGAATTTGAGGGTCAAAACAAGTTCATCAAATCTAGAGTACGTTCGACCCTGCTGATATGGGATACTTTTGCTGTTGACAAAGTAGTGGATGTATCGGCACGTGTTCTGCTGCGCTTGTCTCCACATGCTTCCTTGTATCCTTCTCACTTGCCCTATTTGTTCCTCAGGCAGATGTGGTATCTTCTCGGGAAGCATAAGATGTTGAAGATGAGTACTTGAGAGCAATGTCAGGTAAGTAATCAGGTAAGGGGTTCCAGGCAGTCAGTTCCGGACTAGAAGCTCGATTCCAAGTGCTGACTGATTGCTCTCTTTCTCCTTGTCTTGCAGGTAAGAACAAGGCCAAAGGAAAAGACAGGGAAAAAGCATGATATGAGATACTCTTGCTTTTAACCCTGATGATATGAGATATTCTTGCTCTGGTGTAGCTTGTTTGCAGAGGTATTCTCGGGGGGAAAGAAAGCTGAGTATTTCGAGAGGCTTCGTTGGGAGTGCCCTGTCAGATATGAGGAAGGGTTGAGCATTTTTGCAGGTCTGCCTGTCCGTTGAGGATAAAGGTCGACATATATACGAGTCTCCCTAACAACAAGGAGTAATGTTATTCCTTTACCCTGCTTGGTCATAGCACGGTAGTGGGAGCTGCCAGCTTCACGTGTTTTAACTCTGTCAGAGCACTTTGAAAAAGTGGTATGTGGTATCTGGAAAGCTGATGTTACGTGTGAAGATTACAGACAAGCTTTATCCAAGAAGATTTGGCTCTCGAAGTTGAGAAAGCGGTGTGAGGATTACAAACAAGCTTTATCTAAGGGGCTCTCGAAGTTGAGAAAGCGGTGCCTCTTCGGTTTTCGAACAAGCAATCTTGTCGGGGATCTGTCTCTCGAGATTCAGAAAACGGTGCATCTTCGATGTTTGAGAAAGCAATCCTGCTAGGAGTCTGGCTCTCGAGATTAGGAGAGCGGTGTCTCGTCGCTTTTTGAGAAAGTAATCATGTTGGGAGTCTAGCTCTCGAGATTCGGAGGGCGATGCCTCTTCGATCTTGAAGCAAGCAATCTTGTTGGGAGTGTTTTCTCGAATGTGAGTAAAGGTTAGGCCTGTTTGCTAGTCTACCTTGCCACGGAGCACAGAGGTTGACACACAGGGACTTTCCAATTATCCAGCAGTGGTCCTGTTCATTTACCCTTGTGGGTAATAATATGGTAGGTAGACCTTCAAAATTTATGTGTCTAAACTTTGTTAGTGCTGTTTCTTTGCTATTCTTTTACCTTTCTTGGTCATAACGATGTAATGGGAGCTGCAAGCTTCACGTGTCTAAACTTTGTCAGAGATTTTGGCAAAGTTATATGTGGTACCCGTGAGCTGATGTTGCGTGTGGAAAGTGGATGATTGAACAATAACATTCACGTGCTTTCTACTTCACCAGAAATCTTCGACAGAATGCCCGTAATTTCCGCAAAGTTGAGTGCCTGTGACAGGTGCTGACAAGGCTGAAAAATGAGGTGCCTCTTCGATTTCTGAGATCGGTCATCGTGGTCTCTGAGCAGCCCAGCTTTTGAGAAAGCAAGCGCCTCTTCAATTTCTGCGATCGACCTTCGTGGTCTTTGAGCAGCCCAACTTTTGAGAAAGCAAACGCCTCTTCTTTTCCTGAGATCGGCCCTTGTGGTCTCTGAGCAGCCCAGCTTTTGAGAAAGCAAACGCCTTTTCGATTTCTGAGCAGGCGCCTCTTCGATTTCTGAAGCTCCATCGAGTGCAGATTTTTATAGAGGCTGGTATTAAGTTCCAAAGCACACTTGAATCTCCACCAGTAGAAGCTCTCTTCTTGCATTTCTAAGATCTTGATTTATCCGACCTCTTCTCTCTTCAACACCTTTGAAAATGTCTGGCCCCTTCGACCGTCGTTTTAACTTGAATCTTGTTGAAGAGGCAGCCACGCCTTCTCCAGACAACATATGGCGCCCATCCTTCTTATCCCCTACTAGTCATCTTACCGTTGGGGATTCCGTGATGAAGAATGATATGACCGCTGCGGTGGTGGCCAGGAACCTTCTCACTCCCAAAGATAACAGACTACTTTCCAAACGGTCTGATGAGTTGGCTGTTAAGGATTCTCTGGCTCTCAGTGTTCAGTGTGCAGGTTCTGTGTCTAATATGGCCTAACGCCTATTTGCTCGAACCCGCCAAGTTGAATCATTGGCGGCTGAAGTGATGAGTCTCAAACAGGAGATTAGAGGGCTCAAGCATGAGAATAAACAGTTGCACCGGCTCGCACATGATTATGCTACAAACATGAAGAGGAAGCTTGACCAGATGAAGGAATCTGATGGTCAGATTTTACATGATCATCAGAGGTTTGTGGGTTTGTTCCAAAGGCATTTATTGCCTTCGTCTTCTGGGGCTGTACCGCGTAATGAAGCTCCAAATGATCCCCCTCCGGTGCCTTCTCTTCTGGGGCTCTACCGACTGCTGAGGCTTCTTCTAAGCAACCTTTGTGAAGGCTCCCTTTTGTTTGTTTATTTTGACTCATGTATATGTACATATTTGTAACTTATTGGAGATATCAATAAATAACCTTTGTTTCATTTCAACGTATTGTGTTAAATACACCAAAGCCTTCTTCGCTAAGTTCTTTGAATTTTTCTTTTGTTGAAGCTTGTATGTTGAAGCTTTGTGAGTGGAGCATGTAGGTTGAGGTAGTGTTCCCTTAATTTCCAGAGTGGGGAAAACTTCTCGATTGGAGACTTGAAAAAATCCAAGTCACTGAGTAGGGTCGGCTATATGAATCTTAGAACGCCATTGTGCTCGATCCTGTGTCATGTCCTCCGTTAGATCCAAGTACTCTAAGTTTTTTCTTAGAGTCTCTTCCAAAGTTTTCCTAGGTCTTCCTCTACCCCTTCGGCCCTGAACCTCTGTCTCGTAGTCGCATCTTCTAACCGGAGCGTCAGTAGGCCTTCTTTGCACATGTCCAAACCACCGTAACCGATTTTCTCTCAGCTTTCCTTCAATTTCGGCTACTCCTACTTTACCTCGGATATCCTCATTCCTAATCTTATCCTTTCTCGTGTGCCCACACATCCAACGAAGCATCCTCATCTCCGCTACACCCATTTTGTGTACATGTTGATGCTTCACCGCCCAACATTCTGTGCCATACAGCATCGCCAGCCTTATTGTCGTCCTATAGAATTTTCCCTTAAACTTCAGTGGCATACGACGATCACACAACACTCTGGATGCACTCTTCCACTTCATCCATCCAGCTTGTATTCTATGGTTGAGATCTCCATCTAATTCTCCGTTCTTTTGCAAGATAGATCCTAGGTAGCGAAAACGGTCGCTCTTTGGTATTTCATGATCTCCGATCCTCACCCCTAACTCATTTTGGCCTCCATTTGCACTGAACTTGCACTCCATATATTCTGTCTTTGATCGGCTTAGGCAAAGACCTTTAGATTCCAACACTTCTCTCCAAAGGTTAAGCTTCGCATTTACCCCTTTCTGAGTTTCATCTATCAACACTATATCATCTGCGAAAAGCATACACCAAGGAATATCATCTTGAATATGTCCTGTTAACTCATCCATTACCAACGCAAAAAGGTAAGGACTTAAGGATGAGCCTTGATGTAATCCTACAGTTATGGGGAAGCTTTCGGTTTGTCCTTCATGAGTTCTTACGGCAGTCTTTGCTCCTTCATACATATCCTTTATAGCTTGGATATATGCTACTCGTACTCCTTTCTTCTCTAAAATCCTCCAAATAATGTCTCTTGGGACCCTATCATATGCTTTTTCCAAATCTATAAAGACCATGTGTAAATCCTTTTTCCCATCTCTATATCTTTCCATCAATCTTCGTAAGAGATAGATTGCCTCCATGACTAGACATCTTTAATTACTCGATAACTAAGAGAACATTTATTTTTGAAATAGCTAAACAAAAATAGTAACGTTGAAGTTTATATGAATCTCAAACAAGAGGTAATCAGTTTTTGAAACAAAATGTTTCCACGTGGCCCTCTTGGAATGTGACAAATGTTGATTTATATATCCATCGATCACGTGAAGATAAGATATGTAGCAACTGAAAATTACCACCACAAAGTTTCATGAGGTTGTCAAAGTTTTAAGAGGATGTATTTAATTGAGAATTTAAGAGATTTTAATAGATTTATAAATCTAACAAATTTTGTGGAATTTAATTGATTTGTAGAGATTTTATGTAAAATTTTGATTCAATTCCCTCGAAATTGTCTAAGTTTTTCTTGATAGCACTTGATTCACAAAATTGTCTAAGTTTGCAGATGAAGAACCATGTGGACTAGCGGCGGCTTCTGCGAGTTTCTTCCACTCCATGACCTTATTTTTCATCTTCTTACCTTTCTCTCCTTCCATTAACTCTTTAACAAGCCTCTCTACTTCATCTCTCTTCACATCATTACTAATCTCCATGCCAACCCCCCATTCCTTGCACGCATAGCAACAGTTTGTTGGCTGGTCACTAGAGCATGGCCAACACAGCATAGGCACACCTGCGCATAGACTCTCAACGGTCGAATTCCAACCGCTGTGTGTTAAAAAACCTCCAACTGATGGGTGCTCAAGAACTTGTTCTTGAGGGCACCAACTTGCTATTAGACCTCTTTCCTTAGTCTCTGCGACCAACTCCGGTGGCAAAATCACAGACTCACCAACAACAAGATCAGGTCTGATTACCCAAATGAAGGGAAGCTTGCTGTTTGCTAGTCCCCAACCAAACTCGACAAGCTGTTCCGGTGTTACAAACGCTAAACTGCCAAAATTCACATAAACAACCGAATTTGGGGACTTGGAATTTAGCCATTTGAAGCACTCAGTTTCTTCTTTCCATAGACTGTATCCGGTAGTATTCAGAGGATGCTCCGGCATCTGGTTGAGAAGCAATTGGAGAGGACCAATCGCATAAACAACTGGAAGCAAGGACAAAAGAGCATCCAACACATCTTTCTCTAATGCACCAAAACTATGAACAACGACTGCTGAACCTTTGACAAATCTTTGAATTGCTTCCAAACAGTATTTCCAACATTTATCATTGGGATTTGTGACTCTCATGTCTTTTGGGAGATCCCTTAAGCGAATACCTTTCATTCCTGGAATCCAATCAATCACCTTGTCCAGAAAGCCATTTGTTAAGCAACTCGCATCTACAAATATCAAAGTTTAAAAAACGTCATCTGTTTTGAAACAGTACGGAATTAATCCAAGTATTGAAAGAAAAAAAAAATCATATATACTTCTTATGCGTTTGGTATCTTTATTTGCTCTAATTTTTTGCTTTTGAAACTAAAGAGTATTAAGTACTTTAGATACATTCATCAATTTTGAAAACAAAATTTGAATCCAAGAAGGATATTGAACAACCCAAGTTTTTAAGAAACGTTAAACTTGTTGGGAGAAATTCAAGTCAGTTTATTATAAATATGATGTTTTGTTATTTAATTGAAAATAAGTCAATCAAGATGTAGCCCTAAATTTGTAGCACTTTCGACAATCTAGTTTATTTGTTTTCCGTTAATAAAATAATGTTCACAATCATTTTTTTTCCGTCTCTATTTATTTTCAACTAAACTGAATTTCAGTGATTCAAGTAAATTGTTGGGATAGCTTAGAGAACACTTATACACATGTGTTTTTGGAGAGGTTCTTATTACATGCATAATTTTTTTTTTTTTTTTTAAGTCCAAGTACTTTCTGTGCTTCTCTACAAAACGCTTTTAAGTATTTTTGTCAAACATAATTATAACCTCTTAAATACTTTTGATTGTCAAAAAGAACCTTTATCCATTTCGAAAGCACTCCAAATAGGCCATAAATACATCAATTAGAAATCATTGACATTCGTAGGAGTGTTAAGTGTAATATTCACCTTTGAGTGGGACAAGTCCTTTTTCAACCAAAGCTGGAAACTGTATATAGCCCATTAAGCTGCATGCAGAAATAGTAAAAAAGAGTACTACGGGGATACCAATTTCTTCTGCTGCCTCCATGGGGAACGCCGACATCCAACCGTCTGCAACGATGTGAGTCACAGGAGCATCGCCAGCCGTGTGGTTAAGTTTAGCGAGGAGGTCGCGAAAAGGAGCCAAGAAATTCTTTCGGATGGCCTCAGCAAGCAACATGATGTCTTGTTGGGTGTCTTCATCTGAGTTTTGGAGCCCATCCGGTATGGTTTCGAATCGGAAACCAGGCACGCCGTCGAGGGAGTTGGGTCCTAAAGATTTGAGAAAACGTTTGTGATTGAACTCCGTGTTGACAAAGGTTACGTGAACACCTCTATGGTGGAGGAGTTGTGCTAATTGACGCATTCCCTTTATGTGGCTTTGAACTGGAAAAGGAATGCAAACAGCATGAGGGACGTTGTTCCTGGAAGTCATTTTACTAACTCAGATTGTGTGAATCAGTGCATGCTTTGTCTTTGCACTTGCACAAATTCATTGTTTTATAGGCTAATATCTTGATGCTAGCGGTTATGCTATGATAATCTCGAATTATGGTTTATTTTTATAAATAAAAAGGCCCCTATGGTTAACTTATGATCATCTGGAAGAATTTAATAGTTCAATTTGAATATTTTATGGTTGTCCAATTTTTTCTTCAGTAATTAAATTTTCCAGCTGTTCCGCGTGCGCATTTTATATATTTTCTACTTTGGAAGCCGGCAAATACTTGTTAAATGATGCCAAATTTAATAACAAAAGATTCGAATGATGTTGCAAAGGTTACATCGTAACTTTTAATCGTGTAAATATTCCCTTTAAACTTGTATAGCGTAATTAAAACTCTAACCTTGGTTGATTTAGGGGTGTGGTCAATTTGGATTTCACGGGATTTTAATAGATTTTTTTTAAGTAATAGATTTTAAAGGATTTTAAAATGTTCTCAATTCTATATGGATTTCGACAGATTTATATAGATTTCTATTATAAATTTGTATGGATTTTTTTTCGTGGATTTCTTAGTTGAATCTTATAACATAAATGTTTTGAATCAAAGGAGATCCATTAACAATAAATTTGAAGTGTTAGCAAGCACAATCATGAACTCAAATACACAGAATAATAATGTAATCGTAGTAGCTAAGCAATCAGATGAAATTCCAAATTCCAAGTTTCAAACACATCCACAAAACTTTATATTAATCAGAAATTCATCATTACAAGTAATGTTTTCTTCTTTCTTTTTTGCTTTCTCGAACGCAACCACAAAACCTAACATTACAAGAACATCATCAGAAATTCATCATTACCACACTAGAATTATTTGTGACTCATTATCCTCCATTCACATTGTTATCATTATGGGCATCTCTCATGTCCAAAGCCATATTATATCTCCATTCATTAGCAATATTCCGTTGTTCTTGTGTTTGAAAATATTGATCAAGATCCCCTTTAGAAACTGACAATGGTGGAGATGAAGAAAATTCATCATCTAGTTTAACAGAAAACTCATCTGATCTACATTCCTTGCGAAGAAAATTGTGCACTGCTGCACAAGCTAATACTACCTCCGCTTGTGTTGCATATGAAAATGGAGGTGCAATCCTTAAAATCGAGAATCGTGATTTTAAAATACCAAATATCCTCTCAATGACATTTCTTAAAGAAGCATGACAAAGATTGAACAACTCTTTTTCGTTTCTAGGCTCATGACCCGAACCACTATACTCTTGGAGATGATATCGGATTCCTCGATAAGGAGCTAAGAACTGACATCTATTTGGAAATCCCCAATCTACTATGAAAAATTTACTTGATAATATATATTTTAATATGCAACTCAATGGGTTAATGAGAAATTAAATAATAATAAAAATGATAAATCTATACACACACCACAATTAATCTATACACAAACACACCATAATTAAACCATGACCAGCAAATGATTAACCTATATACACACAACACCATTTATCAATTAATAATTTCATAGCTAACTAATCAGTGACAATAAAAAATATATCATAGAAACTCAAGCACGCTAAATTCCAATTGGTTTACTTGTTATTGTTGAAATTTATTATCCAGAAAAAGAAAATCAAAAGAGGACGTCAAATTGCACATAAACAATTCAGAGATAGTAATCTCAAATACTTATAACTTGGTAAAACATAAAAATAGAAGCTTGACATTCAATGACACAACTAGCCATTAGAAGCCTGACATTCTTATTCTTATGCTGAAGCAAGCTATGCACAATAGCTTATCTCAAGGGCTCCAACTTCTTAGATGCTTCAGCCAAAGAAGCCAATTCTAACTACGACAAAGCACTCATAGTTTTCTGCGGATGGAAGCATACAAATAACAAAATCCACAAAAAACTACGAGTGTTTTGTCGTTGTTAGAATTGGCTTCTTTGGCTGAAGCATTGAAGAAGTTGAAGCCCCTGAGATAAGCTATTGTGCATAGCTTGCTTCAGCATAGGAATAAGAATGTCAGGCTTCTAATGGCTAGTTGTGTCACTGAAATGTTTTAACTTCTAATGGCCCCTTGTGCATAGCTTGACCATGTCTGATTTCACTGTGTGCTCATGATTTGAAAGACACTTACACTCCTAGTTTGTTTCATAACATTTTTAAACTCATTATTAGCACTTTCGTGGAGCTAGCTGAACATGCTCTATTTTTATGTTTTACCAAGTTAGAAGTATCTAAGATTACTATCTCTGAATTGTTTAAGTGCAGTTTCACGTTGTCTTTTGATCTTCTTTTTCTGGATAATAAATTTCAACAATAACAAATAAACCAATTGGATGTGCTTGAGTTTCTGTGATATATTTTTTATTGTCACTGATTAGTTAGCTATGAAATTATGATTTGATAATTGGTATTGTGTGTATATAGGTTAATCATTTGTTGGTCATGGTTTAATTATGGTGTGTGTTTGTAGATTAATTGTGGTGTGTGTATAGATTTATCATTTTTATTATTATTTAATTTCTCATTAATTCATTGAGTTGCATATCAAAATATATATTATCAGGTAAATTTTTCATAGTAGATTGTAGATTTCCAAATAAACGTCAATTCTTAGCTCCTTATCAAGGAATCCGATATCATCTCCAAGAGTATAGTGGTTCAGGTCGTAAGCCTAGAAACGAAAAAGAGTTGTTCAATCTTTGTCATGCTTCTTTAAGAAATGTCGTCAAGAGGATATTTGATATTTTAAAATCACAATTCCCGATTTTAAGGATTGCACCTCCATTTTTATATGCAACACAAGTAGAGGTAGTATTAGCTTGTGCAGCAGTGCACAATTTTCTTCACAAGGAGTGTATATCGAATGAGTTTTCTATTAAACCAAATGATGAATTTTCTTAACTCCACCATTGTCAGTTTCTGAAAGGGATCTTGACCTAGATTTTCAAACACAAAAACAATAACGGAATATTGCCAATGAATGAAGATATAATATAGCTTTGGACATGTGGCGAGATACCCATAATGACAACAATGTGAATGGAGGATAATGAGTCACAAATAATTCTAGTGTGGTAATGATGAATTTCTAATGATATTCTTGTAATGTTAGGTTTTGTGGCTACGTTCGAGAAAGAAAATATTACTTTGTAATGATGAATTTCTATTAATATAAGGTTTTGTGGCTGTGTTTTAAACTTGGAATTTGGAATTTCATCTGATTGCTTAGCTACTATGATTACATTATTATTCTATGTATTTGAGTTCATGATTGTGCTTGCTAACACTTCAAATTTATTGTCAATGGATCTCCTTTGATTCAAAACATTTATGTTTCTTGTGCATTATTTCATTATATGTTATAAGATTCAACTAATAATTCCTAAGAAATCCATATAAATCTGTCGAAACCCATATAGAATTGATAATCTTTTAAAATCTGTCACTTACAAAAAGTCTATTAAAATCCAATGAAATTCAAATTGACTACACCCCTAAAATCCTAATAAATCTTTGACATTCTCACCATACCTAGATTTGAATGTATTCTTTAAACTCTTAATCGACTACCCCTGGATTTGAGTGTATTCTTCAAAATCCTCTTAAATCCTAATTTGATTACATCATGACTTCATAATCTTTTAAAATCCTCCTTTAAAACTCTGATCGACTACACACATATTTTAAAGTCTATTAAAATCCTATCAAATCCTAATTTGACTACACCCACCTTAATTATAATTTTTTTTAGTCTGACAACATATTTACACTAAAGCGTGTGCTGTTTAGTTAGCCATAATAATTTGATAGCAAACTCTTCATCCACGTAAGGCAAAACATAAATCTTTTCCATAAATCATAATTATACACATAAACTTTCGACCAAAAAAAACTGTGTAAAACAAGTGGCATTCAATTATAAATTGTTTTCATAAAACATAATGCATGGAATTTTATTTTTTTTTCATTCAAAACTCACATACAAGATTAGACTTCAATCAACACATGATGGATAAATACAAATAAAAATCAGAAAGTATTACATTAGGGACTCTAGCAAAAATTATATGCATGGATTAACTATAGTTAGTTTCGAAATCACGTGGTTCATTCGTAGCGGGAGGTAAGGCTACACTAGGCTAGTATTCCACATGGCACGTCTTGGGTTCGATTCTTGCCGGTTATAACAGAGACCACCCTAACTCAAGCACCTACACTATACTCCAAACCACCACCCTAACTCAAGCACCTACACCATATTCCAAACCACCGTAATTCAAGCCCCTCCACTGTACGGTCTTTACCCAGACCACACCGTAACTCAAGCACCACCACTCTACGGTCTTTGACCCCAGAACACACCATAACGCAAGCACCTACATTGTACGGTCTCTACCCCAGACCACACCGTAACTCAAGCACCTGCAGTCTAACTCCTCATCTCAAGGTTCCATCTAGATACGCTTCAAAAATGCAAAAATGATAACCAAGATGCTAACTGGTTTCAACCTCAAATCATAAGCACCTAGAATTTGACATGGAGCAATAACCTAGAAAAAGAGCACGAGGAGTGGCAATTAGACAACGGCACAACCCCATGAATATAGCGAAACAGACCCACCCGGATCAAATGCATATATGCAAGGGATTGAACGGATGGCACCCAGTCACCATAGACAAAACGTACATTTAACACGGCTGCAAAGTAAAACCATAGTTCCACATGACTTGTTCATGCAAAGCAAGAATTAACATGGAAACATAACATTCCAAGTGCTACGTATCACTGAATCGTTCCCATCAAATCAACGGAAACCTACACAACTACTACTCTTTTCCTATTCCTCACAATTCCAAACAACCAAAAAAATGGCACCATACGCAAAAGCCCCAATAACGGAAAGAAAACTAACAAACTCTAAACAGATAATTCATATCAACAGACATAATCAACCGATTACCTTCGGGTATGGACTGATTTATCAGCAAATCACACAGAGATTAACCCATCAATCATTCCACAGAACAATCACAGACTGCAAAAACACATACTAAAATTCCAAACCCTAAATCCTCAAATAGAAAACAGAGCAAATCATATCAAACCATTCCATGCCTACGACGGAGAAGACGATCTGGCTTGCTGGTTCAGTTGATGTCGGTGTCATCGAAATCGTCCTGGAAGGAGTTGAAGAAATCGGAGTCGGCCAGCTTGCTCTCGCTCATGACGCCCTCGCCGAAGGCCTCGAGTGTGTCAACGTCGTCGACGTCCATGGCCATGGTGGAGCCCTGATCGTCCATGTCGCTGAAGAAGTCCATCGCCGTCGGCCTCATCACTCGGAATTGTCTCCGTCTCGCGGAAGCTATTGAGCGCCTCACGTTTTGGCTCTCTGCAGGAGTGCTCGCCTTTTGGTTTTATCGACGAAATGTCGTTTTTTATTTCTGCTTTCGTAGCCTCTTTTTGGGTCATCATCGAACTGGGCCTAAATATCAACTTGGGCCCAAAAACTTCTGTAAAGTGTCATAAAGTCGGAGAATAGATAACGAGAACGTGGCAGATGGAAGCTCGCACTGCACATGGAGGGCGGTGTCCTCCCTCTCGCTGCACAGCCTCATCCATGGCGGCCCAGATATTCCTTTCACTTCATCTTTCAAAACCCACTTCCTTCGACCCACTTGAGTCGCTCCTACGCTCCTAGCTACCGTCGCTGGGACTCCAATGCCGAAACCATTCGTTCCCAAAGATTCGGTTTTAATTTCAGAGACAAAGGCAAAAGAGAAGAAGATGCCGGCGATGACGAAGAAGAAGAAGATTACGAGTACAGTAGAAGTAAAGGGACGAATAAAAGAAGGTGGTGGTCGGACGAGTCGTCGGAGATGGAGGAGGAAAGCTCCGGTGGAATCTTGGAGGATGCCATTGATAGTTTCTGGATATTGAAGGTACAAACTTTCACTTCATTTTTGGTTATTTTTATCAAGTTTGGATTTGGGAATGCTTCAATTTTGGAGGGCTTACATTTTATTCGAGCGATATTCTAATTAGTCTAATCTAAACTGTGGATAAGGGATTTGAACTTGAATTCATAAGGGGGAGCATCTAGCCAACTTATCGATGCACAGCTCTGTTTTTTTTTTTTTCGGAGAGCTTACTTTAGTTGTTCTTACCCGTACCTAAGTATTAGAATGCATCGATATTTTAGCTAGGTTTTATTTTGATAGATGGCTTCGCTTGCATTCGAAACCAGTGTGAAGACAATGAAATAGATATTGAGTGTCTGTTGTTTTGCTATCTTTCGGTACAATTGGCGTCTTTGATTGTGTTGTATCAAGAGTTTACAAGTTAACCGATGCCATTTAATAACGTAATTTGCTTTGAGATCAAGTTATCGTCTTAATCTTATAGAGGTAATGAATCAAGAATTGGAAAGTCTTACAAAACTTATAGTGATGAAGTCCGTTATCATCACTTGTGCGCTTTCACCGTCAAGAGTTTACTGTTATGTTAGTTAAGCTATCCTGTTTTCGCTGCCTTTTATTATTTGCAAAGTTCCGCAACTGACTTTTTGACAACTTACATAGCATTATGCAGTAACAAAATTACTGACCAAATTTAAACATAGGTCGGAACTTCTATTTGAAACAACTTCATAGAGTATTCCTTCCCTTCGTTCCTTCTTTCTTTTTTCTGTTATAAAAAATCGCTCCCCTTTTATTCTGTTAGCTTACTGATTAAGGTCATGTGGTATATTTCTGTAAATATGTAAGCCTCCTTTGCAGTTTTAAGGTCGGTGTGTTTCATGAGTTTAATAAACAAAACTGGAAGAGAGCTGATGCTAAACACAATGTGATTGAAGATACTCCCCTGGTAACCTGATTGTGAATCAAGAATGAGCAAACTACTTGAATAACTTGTGCCTGGTGCATATTTTTAAGACGTATTATTGTTAGAATTCGTGCAATTCGTGCTCTGAAGACGAATATTTTCTGTCGTCTGATTGAGGGACATCCCAAGCTTAGGTTTATAAATATACGTGTTCTGCCTCATTCCTTACTTCACATCTGTTTATCACATGATGTATTTGTTGAATCAGATATCTGATATCATCAGATACCTGAATACATAAGCATTTTGATAAAGTGATTACCGAAAAAAAAAAACAAGGATTAAATTTGAACATCGTAATGCCAAGCATCAAGATATAAAAGTTGGATCTAATTTTTCGTATTATGGTTGTGCTGGTTGGTTTCTATTGCAGAATTTGTCATAGGTGTATTTTCTTTTGTTGATGCAGGTGTTTAAATCCTATGGATGGGCATTTCCAGCTATTATTGCATCTTTGCTGCTGTCTACGGGTCCAAAAGCTTTCCTCATGGCGTTAGCACTCCCCCTTGGTCAGTCGGCATTTTCACTGTTATTTGAGAAGTTGTGGGGACGGACAAGGAGTAGGCCGAAACACAAGTCCAGGACAAGGAGGAGAAGGAAACCTTTTGCCAGCAGTTTTGGTAATGCTAAAACAGATGACAAAGAAAGATATGTTGAGGACCAGGAAACTAGTGACAGAAGCATGGGTTATCAATCTTGGGTAGTCGGAAATGATGCTTCAGCTGATGATAGTGGTCGGGAGGCATCGAGTTTAGGTGGATGGGATGATCTTGAAAGAATGGAATCTGCACGGAGGCAATCTCGAAGAAAGCCAATGGGGAAGGGTAAGTTGAGTCGGAGAGAAAGAAATAGCGACACGCCACTGCTGTTAAGATTGTTGATTGCTGTTTTCCCATTTTTGGGTACATGGACAAAGATGTTTTGGTGAATAGAGAATGGAAACCAAAAGTCTCAAACCTGGAGCAAGACCTTGATTAGTTTTCCTGCAACTTAGATCAGGCACTACCACATTCTTTGCACCGGCTCTTGCGCGGCCTTCGGATCCAGAATAACATCGGTTGAGGGTAAGATCAAGGATCAAATTTCAGCCAGAGCCAATTTTGTATACGCCTGACTTGGATGCCGGTGTTCCTTCAAGTTTTATTTCATACGCCATTGTACATAGCAGATATTACAAATATAGTTTCACAGTACATTTGACATTTCATTGCATACAGTGGAATTTGGTTGAATACAGATATTCTTATGGTAGACAATGGCACAAATAATTCTCATTCACATCGTAAACTTCTGTAATCAAATACCATTAATCAAACGTTGCTATTTGTTTACAAAATCAAATGAAACCTTGAAAGAATGTGAAACCCCGCCTGTAAAAAATCATCGCTTTCCTGTATTGTAAACAATGCTAACGTACACAATAACTACCGTCATGTTGCAAATAGCTCGACCTTGTTGCAAGCAGATGCAGGGTCCTGGAGGCAGTTACAAAAGGCCTCCTCATCTTTGGGGAATGAAGTTGGCAGGGGATGGTCTGGAATCACACCTACCTATAAGAAACCGGAATCACGTTAATCGACAGCAACGTGAATAAAGTAAATGGGGAGAAAGAGAGAACGCATCAGACCTTATCAATGTCTGTGTGAGCAGGTGTCTCATAACGAGCGACTGTAACAACCAAGCCAGAGCCATCAGACAGCTCAAAAACTGACTGAATCTTGCTGCATAGAGGGATGGATGGCTTATGTCAGGAATATAAAATTTTATTCAAGGTTATTGAGCAGAAGCAAAAGAGATTACCCCTTCCCAAATGTGGGTTCTCCAAACAACACAGCACGTTTATTGTCTTTCAATGCCCCAGCTAAGATTTCACTTGCGCTAGCAGTTCCCTTGTTCACCTGAAGAAACCTCAGACGATACACATACCAAATCTTACCAAGCGATTCTTCAAAGGTAATGTTTCATAGTATGCACATGAACAAACGCTAAATACAAAAATCAGAAAGGGTACAACAGCGTATCCTAATGTTTAAATCAACCAATTTGCAAGAACGTCACATTCTAAAGCAATAAAATACTGATTCAAACCATAGAAAGGTTCCTTTTTAAATAAGATGAATTATCAGAAATGAAAAACTGATTCCACTATCAAACAGCATAGAGATTAGAGACACAGGCAACAACCCTGCACTATTAATAATAGCATATGCAAATGTTTGCATAAGCATCGAGGAATATCATTGACCAAATCTATTTAATCATATTATAAATGAACATGTACCAGCACAACCAGGGGTTCTGAAGTTGCCACCGCTTGGCTTCCATCGGTGTCATATATATCTCGAACACCACGACCATCACAAATATATACAATCACACCTTTGTCCAACCTGGAAGAAAAGCATCTAATCATAATTTGGATCTGATATAAGGAAGTGCAAATTAATATTTGCAAGACAAACAATGATTTCTAAATTTGTTACAAAGTTGAATTGTAAGAATTTGTGCTGCATAAATTGGATCAAACATAATGGTTTCAAACATGAATCGTGAAAGACCATTCAAGGCTTCAAGCAGCATGATTGCAATCTAGTAATCCAGTAGCTTTCAGTGGATTGTCTTTCTAAACCTTGTTGGGTTGAAGGAGAAACTGGAAAGAAGCATCTTTCTTTTTCATAGGAATAAGTTCACAAAGTATCAAAATATTTATTGCATGGCTATGACTAAGTGCAAACATTAGTTATCTCAGTTCTATAAAAAGTTGTTCAGAAAACCCGAACAAGTAAGTCCACCTGGGCTTTTTTTTTAACAAACAATATTATCTACAATAAGGGGAGGGGTTTGGGCTTAGCCTTACAATGGGCTAGCAATAATGTGGTTCAAATTCGCCTTTGGCGACCTCTAACTTACAAGTGAAGAAGAATACCACTAGACCGCAATACTAAGTGGCCACCTAGGCTAAGTTAAATATGCACCAAAAACTTTGTTTATTCCACCGTCTCAAAAATAATACCAAATTGACTCATTAAGTAAAAAACAACAATTATAAAAATTTAAGTTTTCCACAGCTCTCCAGGGCAACTTACCAAATCTTAGCAATCTCAATTCCTTCTGGGAAAAGACCACCACTGCACCAAATTTAAGCAAATATTAAGCTTTCAGAAAGCCTTAAGAAAGGGCAAATTTTACAAGAGCCTTGTTGAAAGATAATGTTAAACTAGACCCACGTTGATATATAATGATTACCTATTGTCTCGAAGATCCAACACAAAGGCATTAACATTATTACTCCTTAAGGTATTAATTGCTTCCTTGACAGCACCTGCATGGGATGCAAAGTTCTTTAGACCAAATTGCAGAGATTGACGAGCTCGCTCAAGACAAGGTCAAACAAATGAAGTACTGAACAAGATTATGAAGCATTGAGTAAATAAAGTTTTAAACAGAATGAGCAAGGTTTTCTTCAAAATCAAGCGCAAGTGAACTGATTTTGTTTCTCGGTGAGAGTGGACTTCAGAAGATCAAAACACCATACCATCCTACATAAACTTATATCAGTTCGGTAACTACTAGATCTCCTTACCAGATGCATTTTGATTGAACGTTGATAGTTTGATATAGCCAATTCTAGGGGAATCCTTTCCGGACGCAGGGACCGCACATAGTCTTGACTTTACAGGATTCAGTGAAACTTTCTCCCGCCTAGAATACAGAAAGAAGGCATTTAAATAAATTTAAAAATGGAAAAAAAAGGCTCTAGATTGAGTAAAAATACAATCACAATTTACCCCACTCCTAAGTGCTAATCCCCCACTTTAACAGTAGCTCAAGGGTCCAAGCAAATGGGATGATTTCTGGTTAAAATTTGAGCTCAATTGCCAGCCATCAAATAAATGAGAACTTAAACCAAAAGCATTCTTATATTTTTAAGTTTCACTAATTATCAAATGCATTCCATGATGAAGTTAAAACCAACATATTATCAAATCAATAATCTCCGCTTTTGGGCATACAACATTATTATCCCCAACAAAAAAAAAATGAACGAATAATTCCTTAGACCATGATATTACAATATTTCAGACGGATTAATGAAGAATTGAACCTACATTAAATCCAGGTGCTTTATTTCAGGTCCACTACGAACTGTTAGTTTAACTGTACTTCCGTCCGGTCCCCTGTAACAATTAGGAAAAACAAGATATAAATGAAAATAAATAAAAATTTAGTGGGGAAAAACAAGTCATGATTCTTAAAGCACTTGTTTCAATTACAAGTAACCAGACCCACACACAAATTCAAAGGACCCAAGGTAAAGAGCTTCTCCAGATTTTTAAACGATATGACTTCCATCTACAAATTTTGTGAGTTATCCCCATTAAATCCTAGTACTAGATGGATAGTTACTATAATGACAGGTTAAGTGGCAGGAAGTGTAAGAAACTCACTGTAGTCGCTCTGCGGCATCATATATGCCCATTGTTTCTGTACTTGTATCATCAATAGCCAGAATAACATCCCCAGACAAGATGCCGGCTCTGTTTGCTGGACCTCCTGGGGAAGCTGAAATAACAACAAGACCAGCAGCTGATCCATCAAGTTTTGTAGGGTAGCCAATTGACAGCCCTACGCCTGTAAGAGCACCTTGAGTTCCAGACTGCCTTCGAAGAAGATATTAACAGATTTCAGGAACAACAACTATATTCAAATCCAAATGAAGAAATGTATCTTAAGATAATGAGTCATTGTAGAGTGAGTTTGATGTAGTTTCTAATGGTGCATCATATTCTTATTCAGGCTAAAATGAACTACACTAATACACTAATGTATAAAAAGAAATATCATTGTACCCGTAGACTATTGAACTTTTCAGGCTCCAGAAACCGAGTGAAAGGATCCTCCAATGTGGCAAGCATCTTCTTAATTGCCATATCTGATTGCAAATAGAACATTAGGGTTTAAAGAGGTAGAAACTGGAAAGATAAGTATAGTATTTTCAGTTAAATGAAGTGATCCAGCTGGCACGAAGCTTTGCTCATTTTTATACAAAACCCAACTACAGCTTAGTAAAATAATGGTTTGTCAAGTGAATGGAGCCATTGGCATGGTAGGATCAGTAAATCTTGAAAAATTTCAAGCTGGAAAATGAAACGATAAGTAGTAAACACAAGTAAGAGCGGACTTTAGGTGATTCAAAGTCTCAAACAGTTTCTGCAACTACGGGTAGGAAAACCAATTATCAAGTCAAATAAGGTATCATATACAAAAGTGTATTGTATAAAACTATTCATTATGTCCAATGAACCACTGTCGAGGTGTACTTCAAAAGGACAGTCTTGGTATTTCAAGCTGCTTTTACTATAGTAAATTTTCCCAACAATATAATATGACTGGCTGTAGGAAGGATATCATACATGTCTCTTCTCTTGTGTTCATTGGTTCATTGCGCAATGCATTTTCTCTGTACCGAAACCAACTTTGTCCATTAAAACTTTTGTCAACATATGCACGGTCAATCATCTTCCATGCCTCTAAGAAGATACGATTCTCTTCTGTAAGAGCCCCTGGGCAAGTCAATAAAACAACAGATTAAAGTAAATCTCTTAACATTGCACGACTTTGAGTTGTCATTACTCCATTACCGTATAACGTAAACTTACAGGATGGAGTAATGCTAACAGAAAGAGAAGCTGACATGACAACCATCAGTCCAGCAATGAAAACAAAAACATGCCGTCTAATTTTTTCTGAACATTTTAGCACTTCATGGAGACTGCCAGCATATTTCTTCAGTCGAAGTTTTTTCCTGACCTTACTATAATTTGCTGAAAACAAACCACCCTGACAAACAAAACTCCGACTGAGCCTCAACACCAGTGGAATCAAGAAACTGTGCTTAAGGTCCCCATCAGTATTACCATAATTTATCGGCCTCTCAAGCGACGTAGTCATTATACACATTAAAGGAGACTTTGCTCGAGCTTCTACAATCCTTACTGGAAGATACTTCCATTGCAGCACCTGCAAAGAGTCCAGTTAAAAAGTGTAATTATGGGAGTCCCCATTACAACTAGATAACGCCCGGCATACAGTATAGAGCGGTATCTTTCAGGAGCCACAAGGCCTCTTTAGTATCAATTTCCAACATTAAAACTCTAGAAAAATAATTAGAAACGATCAGCTACTTGTATATTTTCCTTCGTAAAATGATTTAAAGACTTAGGACAACTAT